GACTAATAATAGCATTATTTTATGCATCGATAGCAGCAACAGCTTTTCCAGGTTCTGCAGTCATCTGAACAAAATTATAGACATTCAGCACATTCCATTAAAAAAAAAACAAAACAAAAAAAAGAATAATATCCAGAAAACAGCAAAGTTCTGTTGCTGTTGTGGTACCTGGCACCATTTTTTTTATTAGCCTCTTAATCATCATCTGGAAAGAGAACATTCTAGAGTAATATCATTAAATGTAGCTCTGATAAAGCACGGTCCCTACTATGTATCATAAAGCAGATATAAGATATTTTACATTCATAGAGGTACTATATCATACCTCTTCTCCTGTTTATGTTCTCTCTCTCTTTCTCTTTTTTAATGGCTTCCCCATTTTTCTCTTACCCTGGGTATTAAAACTGAGAGACGTTTTGAGCAGCTTGACATTCCTGGCGGCTGCTGCTTGGGTAAAGGAAGGGATTGACCCAGCTCACCCTGGAGACTTGTGGCAAATTGCAAAGTCTGATGACTGCTGTAGAAACATCTGTCATGCATTGTTGATGTGCCTGTTGCACCTGAGCTCCAGGGCTGGCATACAAAACAACAGGGACAGCAGAAACCCTGGACTGCCAGAGGGAACATGAAGAGGGACTGTGTGACTCGTTACTGGCGTGTGAGTGGAAAGTTTGATGATGGGGCTGAAGCAGCATGCGTGTAAACTGATCGCGGATTTCAGACAGGAGACACTGTGCAGATGGCTGCTGTTTTTAAAGGGTAATATTTCCTTTCAGTCCTGTTTGTTTTAGGAGGTGGAAACTCCCCCAAATACTTTTTTCTGTGGTTCCTTCCTGGTTATTCTCCTCAGGTTTTATATCTGTCCATCTCCTTCCAAGGGAGGAGGAGTGAAAAAGAAAAATTATAATTCTGTTTTTTCCCCTGTCTCAGTCACTGACTAACACTCAGAATGAACTTATGGAACCAGAAATTTTGAGTGACCTAGGATGTGACTTAAAAGTGTGGTAAATGGGTTGTCATTGTGTGCTCTCCATTCTTCTGATTTGACCAACAACTGTGCAGAGGGTGCCAAAGTCGAAACCTATTTCTTTCCTATATTAATCACACAGATAAAGGATCCAGCATGTAGTAATGAACACAGTGGTGGGTTTTTTTATGTACATCACTTTCCTGTTCTGCCCAAATCCTAATCCCTAACCACTGATGAACTCATTCAACATTGCTACTTAGATGCGGCACTCTCTGATCGTGCCTTAAATCTGTGTTTATCAATCGGTTTGCTGTCAGGATAACCACTTCCTCAGAGACTCGGGCTCAGTGCCATGCCTTTCACCTTTGCTTGTCCTGTATTCCATAGATTAAGTCCTATTAATTAACCCTTCCTCTGTAATATCATTTTCTTCCATTTCTCCCTTGAGCTCCTAGCCCCACTCTCATCACCTCTGCCCAGAGTCCTGCAGAGTGCTCTCCTCACCATCTCCCTGATGACCTCACCATCACAATTCCCTGAATATGGCAGATTCATGCTCAGAAACCTTCAGAGACTCTCTGCTACCTACACAGTTAAAGCCTGATTTCCTTACATGGTATCCAGCAACCACCATGATCTGGTCCAGCATCATAGCCCATTTCCTCTGTGCCCTCTGATTTGCCCATGGATGCTAAGCCTGTCCCACTTCCACCTCTGCCTTGTCTTTTCTACATAAAATTCCTGCTGCCCTCCTCACCACCTGATGCCTCCCTGCACGTCATGAGCCAACTCACGTGACACTTTCCCCTGGCCACCCAAGCCCACATGAGCCTCTCTCCCTTCTCTGAACTTCATGACACTGACATTTTTGTGCTATTATATTTTGTGCTTTATAGGTTCTGACCTCAGTTGTACCAGGAGGTCTTTTAAATAGTCTACGTATTCTCATTATTCAGAGACAAACTTTGCACCTCAGATGTTTTAATATATCCTGGAGGATATTTTTAAAAACCTGCAACAATATTAGCCTGTTGTATGTCATAAAATTTCCATTCCGTGCAGATTTATTTGTCCTCTCTCCTCTTCCTTCCTCATTGGTAAATAAAACAAAGAACATCTGTGCATGCTAGCAGTTGGCTGTCTTTCCTATCCCTTAGTTAGGTGGGATAACAGATGAAGGAGGGAGACGGGTTGGACATGAAGTGACTCGGTGCCCTTGTAATTTCACTGTTTCTCACCAGTGAAAGGGTTCAGTTAGAAGACTTCAATAATTGTTTCACTTATGTTTCACTCATGTATGACATGAGATATTAGGACATCTAACAAAATTCCCTCTGTGTATGTATGATCAACTATGACTCATAAGTGAATTTATATACATACATATATATATATATTATGTATATGATAAGAAATTTATGAAAAGAGAGTTCTGTCAGGTTAATTAGAAAAATGCTCTTTTGTGATGCACATTACTAAATTAATGGAAACACTGCTGACTGGACTCAGTAGTGGCCTCCTGTTTAGCTGGCACATTTGCTTTCTGATAGGCTATAGTCCTCACTTCTTATTGATTTCAGTATTTATTTATGTTGGCTGCCTGGCTCCTGAGAGCATTGAACTTGTGATCCTTGATCCCGGATGTCAGTAAGAAGTCAGTCATGGTAATATTTAACTTAGCCAAGGAGATCACATGCGTATTAAGAAGGCATCTCGAACTTAGCGTGTCCACAATTGAACTATTTCCATTTCAAGGCTGCTCCCTCCCAGTTTTTTCTCTAAGTAAGTGACAA